AGTATAGTAGTAACTAATCCCTCGGCTTTCATTTTTTCGAAAGTTGGGAAATTTTGCTGATGGGGTTGGGAAAATTTGGATTCCCTCCCCCCCCTGCTATTTCTTTTTGCTACGGCCCTGTATGTATGTGATTTGTTTGAATATAATGAGCTTATATTAAATATTGAAAATTTCGTTACTATCCCTTCACGTAATACTCGAATCACCTGCCAAATCTAACCTTTGATAGTGATAACTCAACAATAATAAATGGAAGAACTCGGGCAAAGTATTTAGGAATAATAATTGATAAATATTTTGAATGTGACTTACAAATTTGGCACTTGAAAGAGTTCTGTTTTTTCTTCCATTATACCCTCCTATTTTCAGTTTAAAAATATATCGTTTTCAAAACTTCGCAACTGCGGATAGCGAAACGATATCTGCTCAATTTGGTGTTCAATTCTCTGAATGTTCAGTCCAATATAAATTGTTAATTTGAAATTTGAAATTGATCAGTTCCTGTTGCAAATTCAAACTAATCATGAGAACGTAGCAAAAATCAACCAGACAGAAAATTCGCAGTAACGACAGTTTCATTAATAGTGGCATATTTCTAAAATACCCCGCAAAATCTAGCTTTCCATCGGTTCAAATATGAAACCAGTACAACTCGAACTACACTACACTAAATGTAGTTTGACGCAAAAATAATAAACGTACATAAATTGAACGCAAATCGGAGTAAATTATGGATTCTGTCCAATATAGCGGAAACAACAAGCTCATCAAAATGTTTAATACTGCTGAATATAAAATTCTTCCCCAGCAAAACATGCACAATCTCCAGGGATGAAATGTTATATCAAAGACAAACTTGTGCTAGGCAATAGTTAACACTAACGTGAATTAAAATGAATTTTAAAGTCTCCAGGGTGTAGAAGCCACATGTTATAAACTGATACTCGTAAACAGACTCAACTTTATCCAAAATGAAGCGTGATTGTCGATTTCCAATGTTCACTCTGACCTGTAAACACATTTATTTTAGTTTATGAATGACAGTGTTCAGTTTGTTCTGTGGTCTGTGACTTTTTTTTGGTATATAAGTCAGGTAAGTGAGTTCAGTTTGAAATTTTATATTTTATACGATTATTTCAATAAAATNTGTAAACAAAACAAAGGCTATGATACTTACTACACCGTTTAAATACAGGGAATTAGATTTAAATCAAATTGAAATAAAAATAGAAAATGATAAAATTGAGCTCATCACTGAATTCAAATATCTAGGATTCATATTAGAAAATCATTTATCAATGAATGACCATTTCACCTACATACAGAAAAAAAATTTGAAGAAATTATATTTTTTCACAAGAGTGTCCCAACACTTAACTATGCAATCACGGATAACCGTATATAAGACAATTATACAACCACATTTTGAATATTGTCCCACTTCTATACACTAGTGATTTGAATAAAATGAGAACACTACAAAAACTACAGAATCGCGCGATGAGGATCATTTTGAGATGTGACAGGAGTACCATATATCTTTAATGTTGAATACTCTAGAATGGTTATCTGTAGAAAGTAGGCTTACATACATATTACTGAGGATACATTATAAAATCACACTTTTGTCTCTTTTCCACGATATTTCTTTATTATTGACTAGTTTCGGCTATTACACCATTTTCAAAACTAACTGATTACATTTAAATCTGAGTAATTTATACCTAAGTTGCCTATCCTACCATAAATAATTTGGTACCTACATTTTGTATACCTGTAATATCCATGAACATAACAAAACAAACCTTTTGATATAATGTACGTTTTGGGAACTGGATTATAGATTCAGGAGAGGACTATTATTTAGATCAAGTTGTTCGTTGAGGACAATAGAATTGGGATTTTTCTTTGACTTGTTCATTTCCATAGATTCCAACAGATTGATCATTTTCCCTTTTTTCGCATGTGTGAAGGATTTTTAAATTATCTTTATCTATTTTATGTTTCGAATTTTGAAGATGTTCGTATATCAATGATTTTTTATCCGAAATGACATGTCCAATTGCTTCACGGAGTTGTCGAATAAACAGTTAATATGTGTTGACCAGTTCTGTTGACTATCCATAGTAAGATCTAATTATATTGAAGAACACATCGTATTTCGTTTCTGCATCTATGTTCGTTTTTCCTGCAAGAACTGAATTGAATTCTTTAGTTTTACTCACGTATTTTGAGGGTATATATCTTTATGATGAACAATAAAGCTAGTATCATCAGCAAGAAAGTGAAAAGGTTGCTTCTGGAAAGTTAATGCAATGTCGTTAGTATAGGTAAGAAATAGTGTGGGCCAAGTATAGATCCTTGTGGAACACCTTCTCCTTATTTCTGTTTCCAAGGAAGAGTTTGTTATCTCCCATCCACAATTGACTCAATTATGGCACAAAATTTTCTATTAGAAACATTACTTTCAAACCATCTCTCCATTGAATAGGAAAGCAATGAAAATCATTCTGTTTTTTGGCGGTTTTTGAACAAATTTCTTCGGGAAATGAAAACAACGTTTTTTAATTGAAAAAGCCGTCTGTTCATCAGTTATGCTACTACTCTTAAAAACTTTGAAGTTCTGTAATTTTTTTGTTGAAGTTTCAATTATAACTCTGAGCAATGACGCACTTGCCTTCTAATCATTTCCATGGAATATTAGTGTCAAGAATGAATTACGATAACTCTTGTCTTCTTATCATTTACCACATTTATCTTGTTGATAGACGAATATGTTGCATCCTGTGTAATTTCTGTAAACTAATATACTTGGCAATGAAAATTGAGTATTTTTTTCCAAACTTCACGTTATCTTGTTCGACATTTGTAGTGTATCCTGTGTGTCTCTTGTAGGTCGGCAGATTAAAAGGATCCTTGAACCCATCCATAATCACACTTAGACACGGCTCTAAAGTATTAACAGTTCCAAAAGAGAGGAGAAGAAAAACAAATGTTTGTGTACTTGATATCAAACAAATTGAGGTATACGCTGTCTTTCAAAAAATAAAGTGATTTTCATTTTTCTCGAAAATATTCATTCATTCATCAATTTCTAATTTGTCCCCACTTGTGCCAGGGTTTTTTTCAATCCTCGATTCGATTCTTATCTCCTCAATTGTCGCAAAACGCCGTCCGTTCATAGGTCTCTTCAATCTTGGTAACACGAAAAAGTCGCATGGAGCCAAATCTGGTGAATTAGGTAGTAATAATCCTTTAAGTATGTTAGATTCACGGGAGGTGTTCAAGTGACTTGGCACATTCGATTCTAAGAGCGGTACATATCAGAAATACACGACGGACTGTGGCTGCCCATCGTTTTGAGGTTCAACTCAGTACACCTCGAACTTCACTGTTTAAGAACTCTTTCATCTGGAGAACTTCGTTTATGTGGAATAAACTTCCTGAGGACGTTTTTCCAAATGAATTCAATCTCCAGCTACCCAAATCCAATGTGAATCGCTACTTTCGCACAGGCACCGCTCTGAGATCGCCTGAGGATTTTCCTGTAGTGCTTAGAAAAAACTCTCTCTACAGCAAATATCAACACAAGCTCTGACATATCGAGTGATCGGAACTGCCGGCTAAGAACAAATTGCTGTTACGCAGCATGGCGTTCGAGGTGGAAAATCCACCAATACCGCGATTCAATTCATATATGAAAATGTATCTGATAGTATAGACCTTGGCGAGTGCCCTGTTGGGATTTTTTTCAATCTCAGCAGGGCATTCGACTGCGTCAACCCCCCGGTGCTCTCAAAAAAGTTACATGACCTAGGTTATGGGGAAATTTGGAATAAGTTGATCGATTCATTTATGTCTGGCAGGAGCTAATATGTAACCATCACCAATGAAATTAAGGGTAACGTAAGAACAATCAACTCTCCCGATACCTCTATCACTCGGAGTACCACAAGGTTCAGTCTTGGGACCTGTACTATTTCGAGTATATAGATAAAGTTGACGAGTCTGTTCTTGATGGAAAGTGCGTGAAATTTTCTGATGACATTGGCACGATACAACGTGAATGCGAGCAAACAATGAGATCTTTGAACTGGTAGTTTTCCAGTAACTGGAGTTCATTCCAACACCAAATCGTTATTTTCAACACCTCGACACGTGTTTCGATCACCAAGTGATAATGATCAAGAGGAAGATTGAGCTAAACGTGTTGAAGATGATCACTTGGTGATCGAAACACGTGCCGAAGTGTTGAAAATAACGTTGAATGTTTATTATGCCGTAATTTATTCTCAATTTCATACAATATCGCTGTATGGGGTTGCTCCACATCTATAAATAACATTTTTGTTGGCCAAAAGAGAGTATTGCGTTTGATTTACAAATTAGATGCTAGGGAATCTTGTAGACCGCATTTTATCAGAAATTAAATTTTGACTGTACCCTGTATATATACAGGGGCATTCAAATTCGTTTCTGTACATGGAGATCTCGTGAACGATAAGAGATAGAGTGTCGGTTGAGTTATGGCAAAGTTGCGTATTTTAGAGACCTATTCAATGATGTATTAGATAATATTATTATTGTATTTTGAATCCAACAATTGTGGGTTTCAAAATCGTTTGTTTTCCAACATTGTAAATTTACCCTATTAACTGTCATTTTGTTTCAGATTCATGAAAATGTCGCCTGGGATCATAATGAAGTCGTCCAGACCAATAAAAACAGAGATCTTGGACAACTCCTCCGAAACGTGTTCTTTACTAGACTTCTCGCCATTCGACAGCCTAGAATCTAGCTGTAATAGTTTCAGCGAATCCTTGGACGGTGAAGATTTCAGAAGAAAGGACTACCAAATGCTGAACGGTGACGATAAGTTTCTTGATAGTATAATAAAAGGCTTTTTCAGTAACAACGATAACGGTGAAATGAGCCTTGATCCAGGAAATTTATCCGAAGATGCACTTTTCGGACTCAACGACCTCGGATCCTTCGACTCTAGTTTCACAAACAGTATTTCAGTACTAGGAGTCGATCTGGACTTGTACCAACACGACAACGAAGGCATAATTCGTGGTGACCTTGATCACATCTTTGGTGATTCTGTAGGTGACCTGGATCTGGAGTTATCAGCAAAAGTGAACGACATCTTCACAACCAGCTTCGACTGTAACCTTTTCGTAGACATCAATAACAATACTCAGCTGGAGGTGTCTCCAGAGCCCATCGAGATAATGTTTCCCCATATGAATGACGAAAAAAACCGAAGGCGCAGGAATCTACTGTATGAAAGCACTTGCAGGATCATCAAGGAAACCAGTCTGAAGTACGACTACAAACCTGTCAACTACAGAGACGCAGACGCCTTGGTGAACCACGACTACACCCAGAAAAAGGAAGAGGATAAATACTTCACCTGCCCTATATTGAACTGCGAGAAAGTATACGCCAAATCCTCCCATCTCAAAGCTCACTTGAGACGACATTCCGGCGAGAAACCTTTCGTTTGCAACTGGTTAAACTGTACTTGGAGGTTCTCCAGGTCCGATGAACTGGCGCGACATAAAAGATCACACTCTGGTGTCAAACCTTATAAATGCGACTTTTGTGAAAAGGCCTTCGCAAGGTCTGACCATCTCTCAAAGCACAGAAAGGTTCACAAAAAGAAGATGTCACAGTACGGCAGTTACCATATCAAGAAAAGAGCGAGAGTAAACTGACAGTGTGTTGAAGTGACAGTTGAAACTTGAAAACTTTTCAAAATTACAGCAATGGTGTGTATTGTAAAAAGAAAAAATGATAGTTGGACAATTTGTGACAGTTTATTTGAGTGGTGCGAATACTAAATTCAAGCTTTCATTTCCATGGAATTGGTGTACGAAATGAGGAGGAATGGTCCTGAATTGGTACAAAGCTACAAACATAAATATCCGCCTGTTAATATAGGCTCCTTTTACTTTGTTGTTTTACTTTATCAAAACACCGTACCTATACATTTTCTATTTTATTTTGTATTTCCAACTTGACACTACATTCCTCTTCAACCTACATCAAGGAACACTGAACTTAACTAAACAAACTTCATTATATGTCAAGGCAGTGCAGCCAAAAGCATAATACAAAAATCACCAGTATTAGGCATATTTTAACACCGCCAACCACGTTGGATGAAAATGGTGGTTGAATTTAAAAAAAAAATCATATCTGTGGAGCATACGTTCATATTGATACAAATAAATGTTCATATTCAAATAAATTCTTGCTATTTATTTGCAACCATTCATAATTTGTTGATTTTCCGGATATAGGTTCAAGGCACACAATGTAAGATTTAGTATGCAATACAATTTGATTTATGTATTAGCCAAATATGAATCTTGGCCTGTTTTATTCTCCTATCAAATTCAAATATTGTTTTGTTTAGTGCAGGAAAAGTATTGAATTCATTCGCAGGAATTAATGGGATGAATAATAGGGGTAAGATTTATTCAGAATTTTTCAAAAGTAACCCAGGAAATAGTTTTTTGAAATACTACAACCAGTCAAATTATACACGTCAAAAGTACCTATAGATGATGGCATATCATATGAACCTCATCTGACTACACTTCATCTCTGAGAAATGTAATAATGAAGATGATAATACAAAATATTCGTTGTATCATAGAATACATACAAATTTGTTGGGAAAGAGAGGTTTTGGCTTTCTACTTCTCCATCTTCATGCAAAAAATGTGGGAATTTTTCAAAGGGGAGAAGAAATGAATTTGAAATGAATTTCAAATTAAACTCTTCACAAAACTTTCCCTTACAATGAATTGATGAATGTAGCCATTACTACACGGCAGGAGATCATGAAAAATGAAAAATAAAACTTTGTTTTTTTACCACTGGTATTCGTAAAACTAACGTTACAGCAGTTTCTTCCTTGAAGGATATTTTCAAACTTATACAATAAACTGAAATAAGTTGATAATATTAGCCCGTATATATCTAAACACCACTGTAGGTAATAACAGAGGTAAACTTAATTGAGTATACCTGAATTTTGTTTACCTGTGACAATATGGGTGCGTTAATTTGAAAACCGGTGAGTAAACTAGATCGATTTCATCATTTAGCAGGTTACATTCGCAATGCTTATGCTTATGAATTTCCAAAGATTCCAAATAATTGAGTTTCCAACCTTTGCCTGCATAGAGCAAAATTTCCACATCGTTTAGATTCGGGAACTTGTGGTTGCAACGTGGAATCATTTTTACCTAGTCTGAAAGACCTTTCTTGTTCAGCATATCGTTTTGAGAAATTTCGACCACATTGTCCCACATAAACACTATTACACTCCGGACACGTGAAACGTGAAAGGTACTTCAGACTAGGTGAAATTGATTCGTTGTTTTCAAACCATTCCTTGGAATAATAATATAATAATAATATTCATTTACATTTAATAAAATCAAATCATCCATTGTTTCAACTGAAACGTGTAATCTACTCGATAAGTAACACTTATAGTAACACTTGTTTCGAGAAAATATATCAGTAGAGTTAAGTTTAGTTAGCACATAGTTGAAAGAAATATTTAAAACAGTATATACTGAAGACGAGACTTAATATCATTTCAAGTTACATATAGTTATTAAAAGTGCATATATAGGCCACATGTGACCCATTGTACATCCTCCCGAGGAGTTGTCCTCATAGGTCATCGTCCATCCTGTCCTTTCCAGGAAGGTGAACAGGCCACTGGTAGACATCTCCTTTATATCGGCAGGTGTAGGCCAAGACTCGCTGAACACACACTCTCTTTGGCGACCTTGAGGTGTCTCACGGTGGCCTCCGCGAAGGTTTTGGAAGGTGTAGCGACATTACTGTCGTTGCGCGGCTTCTTCAGCCTTCTTGGGGTTCCCTCCGTGGAGGTGCACAACTGAAGAAGCTTTCCTGCAGGGGCAGCCGGTTCCTTGCCTTTATTCAATGCGGAGCTCTTGGCGCCCGCCGCAGGAAGTGCCCTTGCTGTTGGAGGTGGAGTGGGGGAGGAGGAAGGTGCACTTATAGTTGCTGCCAGTCCTGCCTCGTTCGCTCTCTTTCTCCTTTTGGCCTCGGCGCCGCAAATGCGCTTACGTCTTGGCCTTTGTATTACATCACGAGGTGATCTGTTATGTCCAGCCTCATTCCAAGCGGTAGATTGGGGTGGACATTTCTGTTCATCCCCAGCCACCGCCTTAGATTGAGGTGAGCACTTCTGTCCAGCCTCGAGATTGCTTTTTGTTGTATCTGATTTGTGTTTGTTTCATTAATGTGTGTTCCCACGAGTAGCAAGGGAAGAGTTGGTCACCTCTGGCAGAGCCCCGCATTACCAAAGGTAGGCTGATTCCCCAAGGGGATCGTTCGTGACCGCATATCACCCTGCCATTCAGCTGTCTGCACAATTCCTTACGCCTTAGCTTGGGTAGGCTGGTCCACGGTGGCATGTTTGGCAAATGCTTTTGGGGAGTTTTAGTTCCCCTCGCCCTACTTATTTGTGCCACTGACCAGGAGTCCGGCGACCCCGTCCGTAAGGCCACATTTCCAGTCCCCTGGCCGTTCCCCTATCCGCCACCTGGGGACGCGCCCGATTGGTAGACCAACCCACGAGACATGTTTGTTTGAAGGTGATTGACAATGTTTCATGATGAATTTCACTAGTTCGGACTTCCATTGTCTTCTATATAAAATGATTTGAAATCCCTGAAACAACTAAATGAGAAAGCAGTCGGGCCAAACCATCACAGCAGAGTCCTACTGTGAAGATGTTAATCACTTCGATAACTTCTTCATCGGTAGAACCTTCGCCAATCAGGACCAGCCCAAAAACGGCCTTCGTAGATTTCATTGAAACCCAAGCACACAATTTTTATGCTGACGGAATTACAACACTTTTGGAACATTGGCAAAAGTGTGCCGATTCACAGGGCGCTCATGTCGAATAAATTGAATAAATATTCACTGAGATATTACAGTATAAAGTAGACTCATAAAAACGGTCAGAACTTTCGAAACGACCTCATAATACATTCGACTTGAATGAATGGACAAATTACATCTTTGATGACTTTCGAGAGACGTTTTCTGAAGAGAATTGTTGATGTAATGAAATAGCATAGACCTAAACTCCAGACGGAACAACTTCTGGGAGCGAAAAATAAGAAAAAAAACGATCTCACTCATTCTTGGCATTAATTAAGGTCATACATTTTTTAAAATGTATTTATTCATGACTCAATGGCAACCATTACAACTGATTAATAATTAATACAATTCAAATAAATTAATTTCCTACATGTATACAAAAATGCTCTCAATTATCAAATAATAACCATTTTCTCTAAAATACAACCACTAGCAGTGATTGAAAATAAAATAAAACTAATATCGATATTTCGTGGAATAATCTTTGGGAGATACAACTAAACCGCGTCCTTTTCTTGCTCCTCTGTACACCGTTTCCAGTATATCAATCATTTCCTGTTTATCTTCTATTGGCCAGTTGATTTTATTGTTATTACCAGTACCCAAATCAATCATGATGTGTTTATTCCTGAAGAAGAACATAACAGTACATGGATCGTACAACTCGTACCTGAAAACATTCAGTTTAGTATCTTCATACATATGAAATTAGACATTTGTTTGGAAAAAAACAAAAAATATGAAAAAATTACAAAGGAAGGGAGACTGAAAATAGGTTCAATCACAAACTGAAGATGATTGTGGATGCTATCAATTGAAACCTCATGAAGTAACTTGGCTTGAAATCTCCTAATTTTTATTCCCTTTTTCTGTGTTTGATTGTTCAATTTTCTGCTTGTATTTTATTTCACTATTATTTCATTTCAGATTTATTTTGCTTAATATAATTGTTATCTTCAGCTATTCATTTTTAATTTTCAATTTTATTGGTCCTTTCAGGTATTTCAAATCCGGCAGAACGTTGCCATTTGGTGCATCGCAAAAAACATGCTTCTTGCGATGCACCAAATTCAGATCACATTCATTTGGAAAAACATGAACAAAGATGTCTTTGAAGAATATTTCAACTTACATTTTATTGAAATCGGGAACTTCTGTAATGTCGACCAAATATACCACAGCAAAATTTTTCACTTTTTCCGCAATACTATAGAGTACTTCATCCATTTTCATGCAGGATGGATCCCAATCATGCCCAAATCGGATGACCTGAAAATAATGAAACTGTATTGGGGAGCGACCTTAATTTTTAATAGCTATACAGTTCATCAAAATTGTCTTTATACAATTTGTATTTATTATTTTTGTGGCCCAATTTTATCTATATTTGTATTTTTGGATTTGTATTCATCATTGTGATTTCATGTATAAAAATTATACAAAAGTTTGTTGAACTGACAGTCTTTTGAAATACACAAACAAAAAGATACATAACACAAATAAATATTACAATAACATCAACATTTCTCAATATATCCAATTGACGAAATTTTCTGAGTTGATTAATAATATTGAAACAATTAATTCCTAACTATTCATTTTATAAGAAACAACTTGTTGAGGAAAACAAAGAATAAGACGTTACCAATTTCTGAACAAAATTACCCAAATCAAGAGAAGATATAGCAAAATTATAATGAAGTATTTTATTAGTCTTCTTAGGGCCAACAAAAAAGTTATAAAAATGTGCAAAGCCTTTAGGGGGCTACAATTTTCAAATGAAGGAAGACTGGAGCCTTTTAACTTCAGAATCTTGTTCTGCTCATCATTTCAGTAGGTATATAATTTTTTTTCAAAATCTTCTGATGTGGGCAAACCAGATGATTACCAAAATTTGACATGACAGACGGACCTCCAACCAGCCGAACTGACACGACAACATAATTATTTTAAAGAATTTGGGTCTAACTTTTCAAAAAAAAATGTGTCTATTCTGACGATCATAGAAAACTACTCACACAGATCATAGTATAATAGTACACTGTTCAAGATATCATTTGCAAAAAAAGTAATAGTTGAATGGAGCTACAGATTCAAAGAGTAAATATGCTACTGAATCTGTGAGTCTGCCCACACCTATGGGAATGCATGTCTTGCTGAATGAAGAGTATGATTTTTACTGATGTCAATGCCATGAGTGTATATCTTTCATTAATTTTTCCAATGCATGAGATTAGTTTCCATATTTCTTTTGATCCTCATCTTGATAATCTCCAATATTTTTCTGATCCACCACAATAATCCGGGTTTTTATGTAGCTTGAATTTTAAGTTGTTTCCATGAGAGAGGATGTTACTGGTCTGTCTGTTTTTTGTAAATGAAACAAAGAGACAAATATTGGTTTAATGTTGAGAAGTTATTACAAACTCGCATACTTACCACAACTCTATCTTCTTCTGACAATATAGCCTGATCCACCTGCCATCCATTATGTAAATGTGCTAACATATAAGACATTTTAAAAGCTAAATATTAATTGTCTCTACAAAAAAAACAATAAACTGCTCTTATTTCTCAACTCAACCAGATGAAATTTTCCAAGTTATGTTGACAGTTCTTCTTCTTATATTTGTATAGTCTTCTTCTTCTTATGGCTCTGCCTTTTCGGCAATTTGCCAATTTGTATAGTCATTGCTTCCTTAGTCAAGCGCATTTGACCAGTGCTCCTCCTATTACATAAAGAATTGGAGCCTCGTCAAATTTGCTCGAAACACCAAACCCTATATGTAGGATTACTTGTTTTCTGCTGTTAATTAGTCGAAGTTTTCATGTGTGCAAACATACAAACATTTTTGCTTTACGGTTTCTTTGCTAGATTTACTTTTCTTTTGTACAAGAGACAGGAGTTACGAGGAAGAACATAGTTCAAAAAAGGGGGTCTACTAAAGGTATAAATCGAAAGTAGGAGGCAGAAAGAGGCATTTCTTCCCCATTCTGAAATTTAACGTCGATATATTTCATAAAATGTATTATTATATTCATGACTGATACGTTCAGATTTCTGAGTACTATAAACATGTCCGAAAGAGCTGTAATGCCTGTACTCATAAAATTTTGATATGTGTCGTATCCAGGAATATGTTGATAATTGATGGTGTTGAGCTGACGTTTTGACTTTTCCGCATTTTTTTTGGCTATGCTCCCTTTTGGTGCAATATGACAGCTCATTCGAGATTCGAAGGACTACAACCACACTATTGGGAAGTTCATCGTCTAGATACATCATCTACTGGACATATTGGAAATAAGCATAGGTTATGTTTATCGTTTTGGGGTTTGTTGTGTTTGGATTTCTTCAGTTTTAAATTTGTGAGAGTAATAATTTTGGTGTGAATATTATAATTCATATAAGTGAAATAGACTACTTCCGCAAACAGTTAGTACAAGAATCCACAACACTTCGTAAAAACAGCAGATTGGGCGGGTAAATATCAAAACAGGGTGAATCAGGTTGGCCCATTGATATGAAAGTATACTATTTCTTATGGCAACGTTAATCACAGAATTTTGTGCCCTGATTTCAGCACTTAGTACTCATCAATAATGAGATATAAGTTTATAGACAAGGTCTCAAGTTCACCGGTGAGTCCACCGATTGATTTGATGGATCAATCGATAACACAAATATGATTGTACTTTTGCTTTTATTGAAGTATCGATGGTGGATAGATATACACTGGGTGTCACCTAGTTTTACCAATGGAAAACGTTAAGACACTGTGGTAAAGTTGGGTATGCCTATGTCGTATGTCCAATGAAAAATTGACATATTGACAATTGAGAGGTTTGTGGTTGACTGACGTGTGTGAACTCTATTGAGAGAAATTTGTTAATTTTCTGAAAAATAATTGTGAAAATTCAAATGCTTATCGACAAAAATACTAATATCAATACCAAACAATGACGATTCTTCCTACGATCAGGAAAACTGCGGGTAACACAGAGGAAAACAAGGATGCAAATCAACAAAGTGTATGTTCACCTCACAGGTTGAACTTATCTTGCATTGAATTCATAATGGATGTCTATAAATAGACAAATGTTGTATAGTTATTTCAACCACATATGGTTTTCCAGTGGAATGTATTTAATAAAATTTTCATCTTTTAGGCGACCTCTGAGAGAGTAAATAGAAATTTAATTTCTGAAACAATTGTGTAGATAACATAATGTTTGCTGGAATTGGCAAGTAGATAAAAAAACAGCTATCTGCTCTTGAAGTTTTCTTCTTTGGAAGTTATCAATCCTTTCTACTTGATACAGAAATGTATATGGAAAATCATAGGCATTAAATCAGAGCTCATCCCAGAGTGCTCTTACTTTCAGTGTTAGTTGGTGAACTTCGTCTAGAACATTTGTTGTAAAGCTATTGGCCATCAGCAGACAAAAGCACGTCAGTCTAATTAGTAATCTTTGTAAACTAGCGCAAGCCATTAAAACGAATATTTGCCTTTTCTTTGTTGAATTGTTCTTCAATACCAAATTTTTAGTGATAGAAAGGAGAGATTTCGTAAACGATATAAGGAAACAGATAGACCTAGAGACAGGGAGAGTGTAAGGGAACAAAAACGTGAGGTAAGAAGGGAACAAAAAAGGGAGAGGACTGTACTGAGTAAAAGAGAAATTATTTCCGAACCACTGCATGAAAACAATGCCATTGCATCACCTGTAGACAGTTCAGATGTCGAAGTTCCATGTAATAATAATGAAAATGTTAATAAAGAAGAAGGAACTGGTTTCAATAGTGAGGATGAGTATGACGAAAGCTTTTTTAAAGATAGACATCTCACTGCTGAAGAATGGCAGAAGGTAATTTTTCTTCCGTTGAATTGAAAAAAATCTTAATTATACTGCCACTGATAGTAAAAAGTTTGAAATACTGTGTCAGTATTGAAGCGTCGGTAGCTATTGATACTGAGACAAATACATTTCTTACGCTCAGTAAATGCACATACCGCTGGTGATGTTTGCCAGACAAAACATTTTACTTAAGGTTATATTCGACCAGACCCTCTAGCCCGGATTTTGTTTTTTTTTTTTATTTGGCAAGCCTGTCTAGTATTTTAGTGAGGATGAGACGTATAGGTACTTTTGTTCAGGATCAGGAACAAACAATTGAGTCACAGTTAATATTCCATGCATTATAAACAGTAGCACTTTGCTCCGCAGAGATACCGTAACGCACTTTTTGTAAGATGAAGACAGAATGAAAAAGCTGTTCACTGCTTGCACCCTAAAATTGTAGATATCTTAGGTGAGAGTGTATGGAGGCATAATAAGCATTTTTTGCAGCATGAAACCCAAGTTTTTTTTATACTAGTCTAAGTGCAAAACACCCGGAAGAAATGTTTGTTTGAAGGTGATTGACAATGTTTCATGATGAATTTCAAAATAGCTGAAAATAACAATTATATCAAGCAAAAAACCCTGAAAAGAAATCACAGTGAAATAAAATACAAGTAAACAGTCATCACCTGAAGACGATTGTGGATACTAACAATTGAAACGTTGTGAAGTAACTTGGCTTAGAATCTGTTGATTTTTATTTTTTATTTGATCGTTCTATTTTTCACTTGTACTTTAATTTCACTGTAATTTCTTTTTCGGAAGAAAGTTTTTTATTTTTGATGCCTGTATGTTCCTCAAATTTCAGACACTCATCGATATCAAACCCCAAGAATTTTGTAGAGATCTTATTTTCTACTAGAGTACTTTCCTTATGAATTTCTGCTAGATTACGCTTATAGGTGATTATACAGTAGAATCTCATTAATCCGGAACTATTTAAAACCGTAGGGTGTTGGATTATTGAAATGTTCAGATTACTGGATTATAAAGAAAAAAACATAAATAAAATAGTGTCTTGTGTTTCCGTTCAGTTGACATTTTCATTTTCTCACTTCAGAACAACATATTATGCAGGTGATAAGTTTTGAGTTTAGACTGCTAGACGATGACGTGGCGACTGAACGCATAGGCAGATAGGGGCGAAGGTTTTCAAATATTGAAGACCAATTTCAAACTTTTTGCTATTTTGCAGTAAACACTTTGACAACCACACTTCAAAATCATTTTTCAGACCTTAATTATATTACTTTTCAGAGAGACACCATTTTTGCTAGATGCATGTCGAATCTAGGGTATGAAATTAAAAATATGAATGAGGATGGTGCGTGTCTGTTTCGTTCCATTGCCGACCAAGTATTTGGAGACCAAGAATTTCATTTTCAAGTGCGACAGGATTGCATGAACTACATTGTGGGTTTGTCAAAGTCTTTTTCACTTGCATCATGAAAAGACCTCGTTTTTTCAGGTTCAGAATCGTGATTATTTCGAACCTTATGTTACTGAAGATTTTGAAAAGTACGTTGCAAGAAAACGTACATGGCACGTCCATGGAAACCATTTGGAAATTCAAGCAATGAGTGAACTTTATAATAGAGCTATAGAAGTTTATTGTTACCAAATAGGTATATTGTTATAGATATTAATTTCAAATCTTACTATTGTTCATTTACTTTGAAAAATAACAGTATGAATGAATACTAGATTCTTATTAGTGATTCGAAAATTTCAGAACCAATAAACATTTTTAATGGTGCAAGAATAGCCTCATATGAACCTATAAGGCTTTCATATCATAGAATGTGCCACTACAACTCTATAAGTAACCCGAATAACCCATCAGTAGGAGTTGGTTTGGGACTGCCTAATTATAAACCTGTAGATATTGATAGGAGAAGATTCAATGATGCTATTAGGGCCAGCGAAGAATTACTCATTGAACAGGTAAATAGAAATTGTACGCCATCTATACCATCTCTGTTTCATGTTTTTCAAATAGAATGTTACTCTCAGGCCTTCATATATCCGGGGAAATGTTTCTGCTATAGTCTAGAATAAATCATGTTCAATAATGAAGGTCATTTTTTAAACAAAAAGTAGGACAAATATTTTTTTCATAACAAGCTTTTCATTGGCTTTCAATCTATTCGCTATCAAGGTTGATTTTGAAACATGTGTCACAATTTTGTAGACTGTTCTATGAAAATCTCACAATAAAGTTGTCTATCTATGGATTTTTAATATGGTTAGAACTTCTGCCGTTTTGTTACTTTAGTATTGACCCCACTTTTTTATTGAAATTTACATCCGGACTGTTTTTCCGTGACAGTTTATAAAATGATTGTATTTCTTTTGAAAGTCAATGTCATGATGTATTTTCCAGACTATGTTGGAAGACAAGATAAAAGCAACTGATTGGGAGGCAACTAATGAAGCTATCGAGGAACAAGTAGCCCGAGAATCTTATATACAATACTTCAGAGATACTGAGAAACGCTTGAAAGCTGAGGGCCATCCTTTGGCCAGTGGAAGTAGCTCCACTATCACTTCTTCTATGGTGTCCAGTCCGAGATGTTCAAGAAGAGGTTCTGTGTCTCCGAAAGGTGGTCAGTCGCCTAAGGCTTCTCCGTCTACAAAAAATAGCCATTCTCCACTTGGTAAGTGGCTTGAACACTAACCTTCCTCTACATCTGATTTCTTTACAGAAGAAACATTTGTATAACATTTAACAATTTAGGCCAAATGTCTTTTACAACTTTCATCAATGATTTGCTCATTTCAAATTATTCCTACACATACATGAACTAGAAATATATAATCATCTAAAATTCTTATTGAATATTTTCCATGTAGCTAGTCCCAGGACATCATTTGGGACAAGTTCGGGCATGTCATTCATTTCTGAGTGCTCCAATATTGATAATGTGCCTCCACCTTACGTTCCTACTAAAGAAGAAGAAGCTCTTGCTAAGCGTTTATATAATTCGCCTCGTCGTATCGTTGAACAGTCTGAAAACCTAGGCTTCAACAAAGAAAACTTTTCGGGAGATTTCAAACAGCAAGCTGGACCTTCTACCGTGGTGAACGATATTTGAATAAAATCAGGAATATCATTTTGGAAATTATTTCAAGTAAAATTTATTATACGTCCTTGCCTTTTCTACTTACGTAATATTCAAAAGTTACCCCAATGTTCATTATTATTTTTCCTTGTGGTCAAATCAAAACGGCTTGAAATCAGTTTTCTACACCAAGAGGTAGACCTATTTATTAATACTTTATATTCTAGGTTTTGATGATTTTGACCAGGAAATCATGGCTCAAGTTCTAGCAGAATCTCAACAAACTTACTTAGATGAATTGAAGCATAAGTCGAAGAAACGACATGGATCTCCAGGACCATCTACATCCTCATAGTCTATAATATGTAAATCAAGTCTGCTCATTATTTTTCCAAACTTAACGCCATTTATTTGAGGTTATTTTCAAAGTGCCCAGCTTCTGAATGATATGCCGTTTGGGTCAAGAGAAATTTTTCATTCGTGACTACAGTACTTTTTTAAAATGTCATTATTTTCAAAAAAATTATGCAAAAATTGATAGAGCCTGCACTTTTTCATTGAAAACTCTGACAAAGCATGTGAATTCTCGGTATTTTAGTTATGAAAAAGAGGCTGTGTTTTACTCTCTCTTAGATAATTTTTCAGATGTGTTCAGCATTATTTTCAAAACTGATTGAGCTACAAAAGTTTTGAATGTTACAAAATTTTCCCAAATGGCTGATCATCCTGTATGGGAGTGTTATGATATGCAATACATACATCAATATCATTATTACGACAACTAACCCTCTCACTGTTTGAAGTAATAATAATAATCTCGGCATCCAATGTTTCATTTAACTGGGCCATTTCTACATCATAGATTAGCTTCCACTTACTACAATACTTGTTTTTGTCTCAAAGTTTCCAAATCGAATCGTTTGAAATATATATTGCATATCATTATTCATAACTTTGATGACATAATTTGTGAAAAACTGTCACATTCTTGTTTCGCACACATAGAATTTTTCTTGTCACAAGCTTTTTGTGTCATTGCGACCTTTAACTACAATTAGTGATTTCAAAGTGTCTGTTTATGATATATTCGTCAATAGGTGTAACATATTTATTTCAGTTCAAGCTCTACATTTCATTGGGTTTATGTCTCGTTTGAATTTAAATATCGGTTGACATAATTTTGCAAATGTTCAGGTTACAGGACCAGACATTTCTATTCAGAAGACATGAGTTTGAACGTTGCTTTCATGACGGTCTAGTAATACTGAAGAGATCAATGGATGCTCGAAACACTGTTTAGTATCGAATCAGGAGTGTAACATTTTTGGGCTCTAGTGTCATTTATTAACAACTTGTTTGTTTACCAACCAACCTGTAGCTGTGATATATAATATTTACCTATGTGAAAGCTATTTTTCAGGTTTTTTGGCTGTGGTCTTGCAGGCTTTTATGCCTGCCATTTCGTCTACTACTGCGGTAGGCATTATCAAAGGCGATGTGGTAACGGTCGCAGTGCCGGAGTTATTCAATTCAATTCATTTTATTCATAAGTTTTAGAGACTACAGTGAAAGTAATATAAAACACGCCACAGATTACAAATAGTTATTTCACATTCAAAACTGACAATTTTGAAATTAGATAAATGTCAAGTAAGTTAAAATATATTATTGAATGAAAGTATCCATTTAGCCAGATGAAATTCTTCAATATTATAACACATTTTCGACAACAGAAAAGTTTTGAGATATTTTCTAGGTTTGGATTTGTTCCCGCTGTTCGGTCAATCCATTTGGAACAACAGAAACAACAACCCGGCCCCTGCGACCGTTACAACATCGCCTTTGATGTCTACCGCAGTAGTATACGAAACGTCAGGCATAAAAACCTGCAGAATACGGTCAAAAACCCGGAAAATAGCTTTCACACAGTTATATCAGAACGTGAAAGTTTACATTCTTTAAGATCCACCTAATTTGTAATGTTTATAAACATCTGATATTCAAAAAGCAATCTGAAACTGGGCAGTGTGCATTCTTTGAAGATTTAAAGTCCGTTATTAATTATTTTGTCATGGGTATAATTTGTGTGTGTGTGTATAGAACCGCCTCTTTTTATAAAGTTATAAATGTAGAGAGGTGGAATAAATCGAGTGACGCTTTGAAAAATTTTCTTATAAATATAAATCTGAAACGATATATTTATCAATTGATTGACTTGAGACAAAGGGGCAATCACACGGTAAAAGGTCTGTGGTTCGAGTGAATTTCGAGAAATGAAACTTTTTTGTATCGGTGAAGCAATTGAAATGTAAAAAGTGGTTAAACTCGACCTGAAGACTGTTTCTCGAACCAGGCTGCTTTTGTAATAGTTATGTTGATCAAAATGTATCTGTGAAAATGAATTTTTGTGGCTTGTCTCTCTGTTTTATCTCCATGTAAGTTTTTAGTTAATTGCCTAAGTTAATGAAATGCATGCCGTTATTCTATGTTTCGATGAAACTCGCAAAATGTTTCATAATCTCGTAGGAAGGATTGGGAAGTATATGTTGGAATTTGAAAATATATTTTACATTATTTATGTGGAGATTTGAGACGACTCTAGTCATTACTTATTGTCTTAATATAATTTGGATTTATGAGTTTTCACTCCCTTGGAATGAAAACTCTGAAGTTACCCAGGAAGGTTCGAATTTGTCGGTAACATCGTATTAGTTCTGTCGATACATTTGAACAAAGGCAAATATATGCAAATTAGTACAATTTAAATATTTTCTACGAAGATTCAGAGGTGGATCCCGAAGCGTCATCAAAAGGAAGTGTATTTCCAATTGAAATAACTAGTCATTTTTAATTTTTGTTTTTCTTCCGTATTGGTTAGTAACGCCATCAACTCCTTTCATAAATCATCAAGATATGATTATGGTAAGTGCACATTGTATTATAGAATTTGATTTGGTGGCTTTGAAAATGTTCAGCAACTGATTTCATTCAATTTTATCATTCTACTATGGCATCACATAATTCCACGCATATTTCAGCGAGATCAACAAAGATTTGGAACATTTTTTTATTGGATAAATGTTAAATATACCCATAGTTTTTATTTCTATATTTGTTTCCAACTTAGTTGTACTGTGATTAAAGTGTACTGTTGTAATTTTGTTTCAAGTGGCATGTATTTCAATAACTTAATCTTTCAGTTGCCTAGTTTTAGTTACACAGTTTCGTTGTATTAATGTGATAAAATATATATGGAATAAACATATATTTTTTGGTATAGTTAAGGTGTAGTTATCAAATTTGGTATTGCTAAGAATTATTTCCATTTCAGTTTTGAACTATATGTTTTAATTGAAATTTTGTTAAATATTGTAACATAATAGTTATTAAATGCCTGAAATTTTTGTTTGATCATTTCAATGAGGATTCTACAAAAAACAGTTATATGCAGATATTTTTTTATAAAAAGACAGTACAGGAAAATTGTCAATTTACACTTATTCTTAGTTTGATGTGAGACATCTATAGCCGTACGTAAAACCGATTGCTGGCGTGACGACGCATTCCGTGGTGATGGGTCGCCATGCGCAAGCGTCTGTGCAATTCTCTTCCCACTGATTCGTCGTTACGCTGTCTCTCTCGACACACTGAGCTCGGATACCTGTACACTGTTGTGTTTACTACAGTATACACCTGTGTTTTACTAAATAAATAACTTAAAAATAAATAATGTCTGACAATGATCATTTAGAAAGTGAAAGTGAGCAGCCTTCTGCAAAGAAAGCAAAATTACACAACAAAATACTTGTAATAGGGCAAGTATCTAGAAATTTTTCTTGGCTAATTGGCAAAATTATTGTTTCGTCGAAACAACTTTGGTATTTTTAAGTAAAAACGTTGATGAAAAATTCATTCATTTAATTTCTTTCAGTTAGGAAGAAATACGTATGAATTAGATAAGAATTAAAATGTAATTGAAGTATTTTCCTTAATAACTTTTTAATTACACGACTAGATAAGTATTCAAGAAACCCTTTATTATTGTGAGGTTTCACTATACAGTTTTACAAAACGCAACACGTGTTTCGCCATACAATGGCTTCTTCAGGCGTGTCTTTACGAGATACAAGAGTAAAGATGTGTGAAAAATCGATTTTTTTATCTTTGACCTTGGAAACTATATCTATGCATATAAAACAAGGCATTTTGAAACTTAGAAAACGAAACTTGTTTTGTACACTTTTACTGCGATAGTAAAAAAATGCTGTACCAACAAAATAACATTTATGAAAAACTTTAGACCAAAACTGAATCATCAGAATTGTAGAAACTGGTCACGAAAAGAACCCTACTGGGTGCAAAAGTTACATATTTAGAGACAAAAAAAAAATAAATGTTTAGGCCTGCATTCTGGGAAATCTGATAAAAGTTGACCAAACTTTTCCAAGATTAACCTAACCGGAGATATCTGGGCAGTAGTTGAAGTTTTTCTTCATAATTTGAGAGATTACAGTTTACTTATCAAAAGGAAACAGGCCACCATTCATTGAACTAGTAACCTATGTTTCACATAGGCTAGATAAAAAAGTGTTTAGTATCGATAAAATCAAAGAGATTTCGTGAATATATAGGGTGTTAATTTCTGAAATTTTGTTACTGTTCTTGAGAGTCGATAGTAGCTTAGTGTAGTGTAGGTACAACAATTCTAATAGCCATTCTCTTCTTTACTGTTTCACGAAATCATGTAGAGTCACGTGTTCTTTAAAACGAGTTTCAGTAGTTTTTTCATTCTGACCAACATACTCTTTATAGCAGACATCACAATTCTCATCATTTTTTCTTTCTTCTTTCTATAGAATCAGAGTCATTCAATACTATGTGTTTTTCCTTAGAAATCAATACTAGAACCAGTTTTTCTTCTGTTATATATAAATTCAATATTTCTTGGTATTGGAGGAAAAAATATACTTGATCTCTGATGATACTACATTCTACGCTAGTCTGTTCAATGATTGTGAATAAATGAATGGAAATATTAGGAACAATTTGCAAGCAATATCGACATGGCTGGTATTTCTTAAAATTGTAGTACCTACTAATTTGTTTCTATGGAAGTGTAAACTTTGCTATAATAATCTGACTAGTAACATCAACCAAAATCAAGCTTATGATCTTTATTATAGAGGCTTTGTGATTATTATAGTATGATATAAGTCGTACCGCATGATTTCAATCTTTATTTTCGCTTTTCAAGCATGACTGCAAGAAATATGAAGGTAGGTACATCTTCTCTCTGAATGTATTTTTCGTTTATTTGCATATAAAATTTTGTCATGGGTATAATTTGTGTGTGTGTGTATAGAACCGCCTCTTTTTATAAAGTTATAAATGTAGAGAGGTGGAATAAATCGAGTGACGCTTTGAAAAATTTTCTTATAAATATAAATCTGAAACGATATATTTATCAATTGATTGACTTGAGACAAAGGGGCAATCACACGGTAAAAGGTCTGTGGTTCGAGTGAATTTCGAGAAATGAAACTTTTTTGTATCGGTGAAGCAATTGAAATGTAAAAAGTGGTTAAACTCGACCTGAAGACTGTTTCTCGAACCAGGCTGCTTTTGTAATAGTTATGTTGATCAAAATGTATCTGTGAAAATGAATTTTTGTGGCTTGTCTCTCTGTTTTATCTCCATGTAAGTTTTTAGTTAATTGCCTAAGTTAATGAAATGCATGCCGTTATTCTATGTTTCGATGAAACTCGCAAAATGTTTCATAATCTCGTAGGAAGGATTGGGAAGTATATGTTGGAATTTGAAAATATATTTTACATTATTTATGTGGAGATTTGAGACGACTCTAGTCATTACTTATTGTCTTAATATAATTTGGATTTATGAGTTTTCACTCCCTTGGAATGAAAACTCTGAAGTTACCCAGGAAGGTTCGAATTTGTCGGTAACATCGTATTAGTTCTGTCGATACATTTGAACAAAGGCAAATATATGCAAATTAGTACAATTTAAATATTTTCTACGAAGATTCAGAGGTGGATCCCGAAGCGTCATCAAAAGGAAGTGTATTTCCAATTGAAATAACTAGTCATTTTTAATTTTTGTTTTTCTTCCGTATTGGTTAGTAACGCCATCAACTCCTTTCATAAATCATCAAGATATGATTATGGTAAGTGCACATTGTATTATAGAATTTGATTTGGTGGCTTTGAAAATGTTCAGCAACTGATTTCATTCAATTTTATCATTCTACTATGGCATCACATAATTCCACGCATATTTCAGCGAGATCAACAAAGATTTGGAACATTTTTTTATTGGATAAATGTTAAATATACCCATAGTTTTTATTTCTATATTTGTTTCCAACTTAGTTGTACTGTGATTAAAGTGTACTGTTGTAATTTTGTTTCAAGTGGCATGTATTTCAATAACTTAATCTTTCAGTTGCCTAGTTTTAGTTACACAGTTTCGTTGTATTAATGTGATAAAATATATATGGAATAAACATATATTTTTTGGTATAGTTAAGGTGTAGTTATCAAATTTGGTATTGCTAAGAATTATTTCCATTTCAGTTTTGAACTATATGTTTTAATTGAAATTTTGTTAAATATTGTAACATAATAGTTATTAAATGCCTGAAATTTTTGTTTGATCATTTCAATGAGGATTCTACAAAAAACAGTTATATGCAGATATTTTTTTATAAAAAGACAGTACAGGAAAATTGTCAATTTACACTTATTCTTAGTTTGATGTGAGACATCTATAGCCGTACGTAAAACCGATTGCTGGCGTGACGACGCATTCCGTGGTGATGGGTCGCCATGCGCAAGCGTCTGTGCAATTCTCTTCCCACTGATTCGTCGTTACGCTGTCTCTCTCGACACACTGAGCTCGGATACCTGTACACTGTTGTGTTTACTACAGTATACACCTGTGTTTTACTAAATAAATAACTTAAAAATAAATAATGTCTGACAATGATCATTTAGAAAGTGAAAGTGAGCAGCCTTCTGCAAAGAAAGCAAAATTACACAACAAAATACTTGTATTGGCATACAGTTTTTGGGAGAAATCAAAGATATTTGGAAATTAAACTTATCTGTGACCATATTTACCGTTATTGTCATCTTCAACGGGGACGTTCCTCATCCAAAATGGTACCGGACATTTCGTTTCTTCTAAAACAGATTTTAGATTCAATCATTTATATGATACTCATTTTGATTAAAAAACTGATGTAATCAGTTATATGTTTCAGATTTTCACTCGATTATATTTATTCACTAATTCTTTATTCCAACTACATATATTTTTTGTGTAATAACAAAAGTTTGACACATGATAACCCATCACAAAAAGATGTCATAGAAACAATTAGAACATAACCTAATAGCAAATGAACATGGATAACCACAAGAAAATTAATCCGTGGTGGTGTGGACTTTATATGTGTATAAAAAATATAATGACGTGTTTTCAGTAATGTTAGTAAAATTTGTGAATTCAACATGAAATCACTTATTTCAATGATCAGAGAAAACCTACATCAGCGAAAATAATAATAATATATGACTCATTTTAATTCAGTTTATGGAGTTATACAGAAATCGCTTTGCAAATGTACAAACTAATTCATAAAAAGTTGTTTCAGTATAATTCATATATTTGAAAGTAATTGATTTGGATGGAAATTTCTTTCCAGTAACTTCCTTTCATCTACACATTTTTGGGACTTTCCTCCTTTCTTCGAAAGTTTCTCATATATTGTAAAATGAAGTAGAAAGCCAAAACGTTTTTATTTGCAAAAACTAATTTCACTTTGAAAAAATGTCCCCTTCTTCA